CTACTAGGGGCTCCTGGCCTTACTACTAGGAGCAAGAAGCTACTAGGGGCTCCTGGCCTTACTATTAGGAGCAAGAAGCTAATAGAAACAAGAAATAGAATTTAACTAGAATTGGAACAAGGACGCTCCTAGGAGTTTTTTCGCGCGCGCGCGCGCGGGGGTGGGTAGAGGACGCGACTAGGAGCAATCAAAAGGATTCTTGATAAAAACATTTGTGGTGATCGTCGGGAAAGTTGTTCTGCGCCTTTGGCCCCAAACGCTCTTCGGTTGCTCGACGGCGTTCTTCCACAATTTGCATCTGGGCATTGTTGTTTGACTCATGTCTATTCTTTTTCGACAAACGTTTTCAAAGGTCTATGATTTGTTGGAACTTCTTGTGAACTCATACACAAATGCCATCCATAAGGTCCACACCCAAGATGTATTAGGCAACATCGGTGCTTTTGGTGTAGCTGGTGGCTTCAAAGGCGTTCGAACCTGGACATATGGTTGTGGTTGTTGTGGTTGAAACCAATCGCTGCTGTCAGAACACTGTGACGAAGCTGCTTTGTGTAATAGACATGCTTACTAGGCCTAATAAACCTAATAGCGATAGCCTCCAATCCAACAGTGATGGCCTCCTACCTAGAAGCGATGGCCTCCAACCTAATAGCGAGGCATGCTAATGGTTCATTATGCTTTACTGTTTCATCTTACAACTTCATTTGCCAATTCAGAGCCTGCAGGTCATCTGTCTTCAACCACGGTGGCAACGGTGACCGAAACCCCGCAACGCCCTGTCAACCAGCACTAATCAACGATCCAACCACAACGAACACAAGTACTTGGTTCAAATGCAACAAGCGCAGAATTTGCCTGCTTGTGTTGCTTGCGTTGTCTTAGGTCCAAGGCCCCAGTGGAGGGTATTGTCGACCCCTGTAAGATCTCTGCAATTGACCCAATGCAGGAGAGCACTCACATGAGCACAAGTAAGAGCACACACGGGAACACAGTCTGAGAGCTCCCATATCAGAACAACTGAGCCAACGAGAACACCCCGCACCTGTGCTGAGGGGCGTGATTGTGTTGGGTACGTGCACTGAGCTCCTAGAGCGTTAGCTTGCAGGGGCGGGCCTTTCTCATTGGAATGGAAATGCATATCCTGCATCATGAGATGTGTCTGGAGGGGAAGTGTTGGTGGAAGAAAACATGCAAAAACGCAGGGGAAATGGATTGCTTTGCGGGAGGTGGTGTGCCAGATGATGTGGGAAAGGATATGAAGTGGCATGCTTGGGAGCTTCCTTGAAGAAGCCTGAGCCCTAGTTCCCATCCTAGGTAATTAGTAGCTACTTAAGCTTAGTAGCTACCCCTTCCTACAAGCTGCTTAAGCTTACCACACCTTATCCCCCCTTAAAAGCAAGAAAGTGATTGACCCTTCAATGTCTTGCTCAGCACTATTGGGTTGGACGCCATCGCGGCCATTGCCGGGTTTCTCTTGGCAAACAAGAAAGACTTCGAGCGTCGCACCTGACGGTCAGATTTGCCATCGCTCGACCTCGCATCAAAAGATGAGGTCAGTCGAAAGGGACACTCTGGTCCTTTGAGGCAAGTGCATGGGGCTCCACAAGTGCTATCGGTGAAAAAGAACAAAAACCGAAAGAGCTACCTTTTTGCAATAAAAACAACAGCTTTTCGTAGATGTTCTCGTTTCAAAAACATGTTGTGTGCCAATTTCGTTATTGGTTGCCTTGACGTTGTTGCCTTCATGCCCTCCATGTCATATCTGAAGAACAATGTGTGCATTTGATGACGATGTACCTGTAACATGCTGCAACCAAGATTTGGTGTTTCAACGAATGGGTGAACGACAAGTCCGGCCGACTGACTACGTCCAGTTTGTCCAGTTTGTGCTTTGCCCGAGAAGTCCGGCTGCAAAGCACGTCGTTCGGTTCTTCCTGAACGGCCCTTTAGGTCTGGTAGTAACAGGTGCATCGCTACTAGTAACAAGTGCCTTACTAGTAGTAACAAGTGCCACGCTATTAGTAACAATGTTCGCTTACTAGGTCTTTCTTCACTCCTTTTTTCTTCTGTCGAGTTACCACTCCGTGTTGGAGCAGGTTATGAAGCGCAGGTCGCAAATGAGAATCTGCTAGTAGCAATGCCCTTTGCTCTTAGTAGTAAGGCCAGGAGCCCCTAGTAGCATCCTTGCTCCTAGTAGCGAAAGGAATTCCTTCACAAATATCTTGAGCAAAACAAAGAGAGCTCCCTTCTGGAGCTGAACTGCTTCGCTCTGGGGAGAAACTCACTGCCCAGGTCCGCTCAACAGCCTGGACCGAGCAAAGAGTCTGAACGAACGCAAAAGCGAAGAAGAATGGCAAGACAGCAGCAATGTTGCTACTAGTAGCGTCCTTCTTCCTAGTAGCGTCCTTGCTCCTAGTAGCGATGCCCGGGTTCCTAGTAGCGATGCCAGGAGCTACTAGTAGTAACGTTGCTTAAGCTTCAACTGTCAACTTTCATCAAACTCGGATGGCCTGTTGCGTGGTGAGATTTTTGGAATGCGACTGGAAGGCATTCGCGGGGTGAAACTGCTCTTCACCTCAGCACTTCAATTGAAACGAATGAAGTGTTTGCAACGTTTAGCTTTGGCAAGAAGAAAGAATGCAAAACTGTCCACAATTACATAATTACTTTTTGGAAGTGCAATTTGTCTCCAAAAGCATCCAGAAATTGAAACATTGTTTGGGACGGAAAATTGAGCTTGCTTGGCTTGCTTGAACAAGTGCTACTCAACTGAGCTTGCTTTCAGCCCGCATAACTGCTTTGAGTTATCTTATCTCTTGGAAACATTTTGCTTGACTGTCTCCTTCGCCAAATGGCATTCTCCAAGCGCTGCAGGATTCCCAAGTTCTCCTAATCAAAGACCAGCAAGAACGAAACTACACACGATACAACGAACTCAACAAGATACTAGTAACAAGTGCCTTACTACTAGGAGCAAAGGACGCTATTAGGGGCTCCTGGCCGTACTACTAGGAACAAGAAGCTACTAGGGGCTCCTGGCATCGCTACTAGGGGCAAGGACGCTACTAGAACCGAGACTAGGCAACGAAATCCAGAACATGCTGAACTTGTGGCTGTCCTCCTTGATACGATGCTGAGCTCGCCTTTCAGAGACAAATAACGAGGACTGAACAGCACGCTCTGTTTTATCCCTCTTTCTTTTTTTCCAACAGAGCTAAGAACGATGGCCTCCAAACTAATAGCGATGGCCTCCAACCTACTAGTAATG